CAATATTTCCAGATAAATGTGAAGATTGCGAAGGTAATGCAGTGCCTGAAGTATTAGATCCAGCTGAATCTCTTGTAGCTATAACTGTTGGAAATACAAAAGAAGGAACATTATTTCCAGCAAAACCTAATTTTGTATACCTGAAAATTGTTTAAAACATTTAAAAAATGATGCCCTAAAAAAATGTGATTTTATTTTTTTGCTTTAAAAATAATTACCCAGTTCCATTATCCATAATTACTGGTGGAAGTCTTGAAGGCATTTTATTTGTTTATTAACTTTACTTTTTCTTTTAATGAAATGACTTCAAAGTAATTTCTTTGCCAATTTTCAGTGCCGATCACTATATATAATCACAAATTATAAAATCTTTTAAAATAATTCCTATATATATTTATTTATTACAAATTTATTTTACATACATACATATACAAATTATATGTCAAAGAATTTTTATTCAACAACTAATAAAATATAAATAATATAAAGTATCACCCTATTATTTTTTTTTTAAGGGATATTGTAATGCAATTAAGCAGTGAACCACAAGTATAATAATTCTTGACTAATAGAAAGCCCGCAATGCCTTTTGATGATTCAAGTATAATTGTACAACGAAAAAAAGACGAATTGGTTTGTTTTAGTTGGTGAAAATTAAAGATAGATTAATAGTAAAAACTATAAATTTTTATGACCATCAATAATGAATTCAGTTTCACTTTCCAATTCATCAAATTTATAATTCTGTTGAGAAGACAATGTTGATGATACTTCATCATCTGAATTCAATTCAGACCTAGAATCGTTATCAACGTCATCCTCATCATCCTCATCATCATCATCATCATCATCCTCACTCCCTTCTCCTTCTTCAGATGATGATGACGATGACGATGACGATGATGATTCATAATAAGGATTTTTACTATTATATTTTTTAATGAATAAAGATCCAATGACCTCAGAGTTATCTTGTTCTTGTTGAATTTGTTGACAATTTGGGGGATATTCCTTTTTATTCCATTCATCATTCTCGGCATTCTTTTCATCCTCAGAATTAATAGGAAGATGATCCCAACAATACTTTCCAGATTTATCAATATAATATGATTTATTATTTTTAATTTTTTGTTGAACATTATTATTATGCTGTTTTTTCTTGGACGAGTTTTTATCCTTTACAATATTTAAGGATTTAATTTTCTTGTTTAGTATAACACCGTTTTTACCAAGTTTATCACCACCACCGCTGCCACCACTAACAATAACATTATGAGTATTATTCTTATTCTTGTGAATATTATGAGTATTATTATTTTTATGAATATTATGAATATTATTATCAACATCACTACTACCACCTCCACCATCAACAGTGCCATTTTTGCCAAATTTTCTATTTTTTGATTTTTTTCTAGGACGAATTTTAACGAAATTGTTGTCATTTGGTCTCTCTTTTTCTATATTTTTTCCGTTCTTTGTTATTCTAACGCCATTAAATTTCAAAATTCCTTTTGATACACTTTGTAAAACATTGTTCTTATCTGTACCCATATTACGTCCCAAGGCAATCTTCACAAGATCCAAACCTCTTGTCAAATAGTCTGTGTCTTTACTCAAGGAAATATGGTAAATCAATGAATTCAAACAATGATTGACAACTTCAGCATCCAGAATAGGAGTTTCTATGTGATTTTTGAGTAGATGAAGGTAATAATAGCTTACATCTTTGATAGTAGGTGCATATCTAACCATAATCTGGTAAACCTGTCTAACATATTTTAATTCGGTAATAGATAATGGTTGCAATGCAATAGATGTTTGTAACCATATTTCTTTTAAGGTTTGTTTATTAGATTGCCCGGTTGTTTTGTCATTGTTTTTGTCAAGCAAACGTGTTAGTCTTTCCCACACAATTCTATCAAAATCTTCAAACAAGATAACTGCTGCAGACCAGTTACTGTTGTATTTTGCCTCACTAAGAATAGCTTGTTGCAATTCTGTTAGAGTAGGAGTTTGACCTGAATTGCGCATCTTGTCGATGGTGTACTTTGTACAAAAATGGATTGAAGGTTTTGACATATTTTTTTTTTGTTGACAAAAAAAAAAAATATGTATATATATATATTAATAAGTTTTAATGATTGTTGTTATTTTTTTTTCATTTTATAATCACAGTCATGCTCCATTCTCATCAAGT